GAGCAGATACATAATGTGAATATTATCTCTCTGTAAAGAATCCGTGTGACATTATCGTCTTGTTCAGTGGTTTCACAGCTTCATGGAATCAGGATGGATGTTTATAAATGGAGGAGTGGTGGTTAAATGGAGACTTGTAATAAAATGACAATAAGATGATGCGGGCGACAGGTTTCATGGAGCCGTGCGGCTGATTTAAGCTCCAGAGACTAACGCCCCACGCTGTGATCTGAAGCAGCGGAGCGAAGCCGCCTGCTCTGACCTCTGGATTAAGGATTACCCGCCACACACAGAGAAGCACGGGATTATGCTTTTGTTTTGTCGGGTCCGCTGCTGCCAAACCTGCAGATGACTGATACTACAACAGCAGGCAGGCGGTGTTTACTATGCTCAGCCTGCTGGAGTCACAGGGTTTTCTGAGGCGGCTTCCTGGAAGGCGAGAAATAAGAAGGTTGTTTTGAAGAAGTTAGAGAAATTAAAGGAGAAAGACTCAGCGGGTGCAGCAGCACCTCCACGTTACACCGTCACCAGACTACTTGTGTTTTATCTGTTTGGTTTTGCATTCAATTAAGAGATTGTTGCTGCTCTTCATACGGCGCATCACATCTGTTGCTTTGATTACAGCCATATGTGATCAATAAATTAATCTACAATAACATTTAAATAATATCTTCCTGCAGCTTTAATCTTTAATTTCTTGTGTTTTTCTTAAATCTCAACTCAACATCTACTTACTCACTTTTGACTGGATCACTTCATTTTCATCTGCAGAGTTTGTTAAATTGTTGATGATGAAATGTAGATGTTTAAAGCTCCTCCAGTGTAAAGGTCTCTGTCCATGTGTAGTGTGATTATAGATCAGGTCTAGGTTCTATATTAATACTGTGAAAGTATCAAAGCCTCAGTCCACAGAGAAATGCACACAGCCTGTATTCAGAAACTGAGCCTTAAAACCAGCCGTCAGGACTTCTGGAACTTTGTGATGTCACAACAAAGCAGTCACCAAGCCCCGCCCACCTGGACCCACCATCCAAACCTTGCAGGATTTGGTTTTTCTGAATGTTTTTACCTGAAATCTGCTTTATTTTTATTGGATCACTCAGAAAACAGTCAGCCAATCAGAAGAGAGGCTCAGAGCCTCCTCTCTTCTGATTGGCTCACAGACCTGTTGTTACTAGAGCTCCAGAGAGAAGCCTGAGAGAGGAGATGTAAAACTACACTGAGATGGTTTTTATATCTTCTGATGGATCAACACTTCAAATAAAACACAGAAGAAGAAGAAAACATGGAGCTTTAAAAGTCTGAGTCTCACCGTCAACAGCTCCTGAACAAGGACCAGAGTTGAGATTTCTTTGTCAGCTGATGCCTCCAAGGCCAAGGGTGAACTGTCGAGCTCAGTCTGTTGAAACTGTTTTGTAGTAAAAACAAGTCAGAGGTGTGAATTATGGGTGGTGGGGGCCGTTGTCCTTGTAGAAAACCTGCCAGAGAACTAAAGGCGTCACATTTCATTCAATCGTTTCATTACAATGATTGAATGAAAAGCAGCTCCTGGACCTTTATTACGCCTCTATCTTCCCACTCTCTGCACAATGTTGGATGGATGTTTTCTCTAAGCTCGCCCCAGATTGACTGAAATATTCAACATGTAAGCAACAAAATAAAGTAGATTTGACACAGGTGCCCTCCTTCAGAGAGGAGCCCAGGATCGGGTAATAAAGCAGGACCCTCCGGCTTTTATCCTGCCACTTGCTTCACTGGTGTCTCTGCCACAAACCAGCTGACACATAGTGAGTGTGGGGCTTTTAGGGTCCCTGGGGTTCTTGGGGAGGGTTGCCCAATGTGACTGTAATCCAACATGGCAACTGACAAAAAAAAAAAGGAAAAAAGAAAAGAAAATCATAAAACTGGAAAAAAAAAAAAGTCAGAGCTTCTCGTGTCAAACTGTAAAACCAGTTAGTGGTTGGTGGGAGATAATTTTCATGCTGCAGCAGTGACTCAGCAGAGAAAAGGGAAAAAAGGAGAATCCAAATTAGGTTTATGTAACAGGAGGGATCCTGGGTAATGATGGGAATTCTACCAGGACGTGATGACAGGAAATATACCATCTTCATCCTCAGGCACTGGCGTCCTGGTATGCTTCATACTGTGTGTGTGTGTGTGTGTGTGTGTGTGTGTGTGTGTGTGAGGGGTTGGGGATGGGAGGGTGACTCCTCTGTCATCCACATCCTCAGCCAATGGAGAAACCAGCGGAGGAGACACTTTAACCGTGTCTCCGGCGCGGAGCGGACCAGATCTCTGCGCCCGGCTCCACACATCCATCCATCCATCCATCCTCCTCCCGTGCGTGCACCAGCTTCATCTGCGCATCAAAAAGTGAGTTTCACGCTCCTGGTTATGGACCTTCTTCCTTTTTCTCCTTCTTTATTCTCATCTTGAGGACTTGTGGATGCTTTAAGCCGCAGTGGAAGCCTGCTGTGCGGATGTCCAGCGGGGGAAATGTCGCTTTACGGACCGCTGGCTCCTGCTTCCCGAGGGGAATTTAAAGCTAAAGTAAGTAGAATTGACTGCAATGTTTAATATGATCTGACCATGAATATGCAGTGGATGAGTGAACCTTATCATAATGTAGGTTTTAAACCGGGCACCTGGAAGCGCGTAAAAACGCATCAGATCTGCGCGTTTTCCACAAGTTTAAGAGCCAAAACTCTGAGCGCAAAGTGTCACACAGAGCGACTGTGGCAGCAGCCTGAAGCTACATACATTTTTTTTTTTTTTTAGAGGATGTCCTGGAAGACGCGCAGAGTCTTGCTGGACAGCGCTGATCCGCGCGCGCTGCAAAGTGTTTTTCTTTATGGATTTCCCTTTCGCATCCTGAGGATTATTGGCCGGACACGCGGGAGGTTTCTGCATGACTGCGCGCTGTAGATGGATATACAGTGAAAAAAAAAAAAAGGCTGGGGGGATATGGCATCTGAAACTGGAAAACAAAACAAGTGATGGCAGGGTGGCCTATAGCTGCGTCTTTGTCATAGTTCTCAACATGGAACAGGAAATGTTTTAATGATCTTTTGTACAATTTTAATCAACGAATTAAATTAAACTCTGAAGCGCGCTGGAAAAATTCTCCATGGATGGATTTTCCGTTCAGTTCTGCAGCAGGATGTGACTCTTCATGTAAATGACTTGAAGGCACTGGCTCAGGGTGTAAATGTGCATTTTCCCTCTCACTATATTTAACCCTTAAAGGACCTTTAAAGTGAATGTTACCCTGAGTCAGACTAAATGAAAGTGTAGTTAAATGAAACTGTGAGTGCAGCTGAAGGAGGAGAGTCCAGGACTCTGTAGATCTGTGTCTCAGCGGATTAAACACGCCCGAGCGCCAGCTGGGTTTTGTTTACTACTACAGCTGTCATTGTCCGGCCAGATTATGACATCACCTCTCTTCCTGCTGGAGTGAGTAGTGTCCATCCATCCATCCATCCATCCATCCATCCATCCATCCATGGAGTTGAGTTCTCTCGTGCAGCATCGTCCTGGAACATCATTTTTCTTTTTTCTGTCAGAAAGGAATCAAACCCAGATGCTGACGACCAGGCAGACAGGAAGAGTCCATTGGTTTTATTTGGTAAAATGATGAGAGAGAGAGAAAAGCAGCGAGTCCACACAGAAGCAGCCGATCAGCCACAGGTTAACAGGAATGTGGCAGGTGCAGATTCATGTTCACATAGACGAAGGAAGGCTGGAAGGCAAAAGGTGCAAAGCAACAAATCCCAAAACATCATGGGAACATTTTTACACTCAGCCGAGGTGGAAAAGTTTTTCTAGTGCAACAGAAACAGACGTAGTGGATAAATGGACGTTCACTGAAGAGACGAAAACATCAGATCTGTCACCTTCATCACACTAATGCCACATTCCACAGTTTATGATTTGACTGGAGCTTTTTTAATGATGAACCATTTTGTTGCATCTTCTTCTTCTGCAGCGGTTGAATGGTCACAGGAGAACAGTGAATGTAAACGACTCAAAATTATTAATTATTATGAATATTTTGGTCAATATTGTGTTGTAGTTGTGAAACCAAGCGACTGATGGGGTGAAGGTGCTGGTATACTGAGACACTGTACCGACTGTACTGAGTGACTGGTGGTTGCAGGGGGACGTGGGAGTCAGGTGACTCATAGGCCTCTAGAAATGCAGCAATGTGGATGAAGGGAGGGACAGTTGTATGTGAAGAAGCAGAGAGAAAGAAAGAGGAGAGAGAGAGAGCGAGAGAGGGAGAGAGAGAGGGAACGACATTCAACAAAGACTCCAGACTTGGATTGAACCTGGGACGTTGTAGTTATGGGGGATGCAGTGTCATCATTCGGCCACCAGGAGGCTTCAAGGCCTTTTCAGGGTGTTGCGTCATTTAAATAAGCTAAACGTAAGTTTTGCTAACGCTACATAGCCAACGTTAGCATTAACAGCTGTTTATTTAACAGTCAAAGAGAAGGACGTATTATAACCTCTTGCAATGTAAAGCTCTAGCCAAGAATGGTAAGTAAACAGCTGTTAACGCTAAAGCTAGCTATGTAGCAATAGCAAAACTTACAAATAGCTCCTTTAACGCCCGTAGCACGAACCAGACACGAAGACATTAGCTGTGATGATCCGGGGATCAAAGGTTAATTAACTCGTTAACTGGTTTCTCATGTAATCGGAGCATGTGGCTGAATTTAAAGCTCTGTGATTGGCTGTTTCTTACTGAAATGCACCTTGGGAGTCATAATTACTACGACCACAAGATGTCACTTAGCAACAAAATGTAACTATGATGTCATAGACGACCTGTGGGCTCGTTTTCTACTGTCTCGTCACCTCTCACTTGCTGCTCTGTGATGTCACTGACCAGAGTTTGACCTTTGACCCCTGACCTTCCTCCTTTTGTTTTTATTCCAGGTCATGAAGTGAACGCTGCAGCAACAGTTTATCCAATGATTGAGACCAGCACGCCGACGATGTTGGACAGAACTGAGCCGGCACACTGCACCGTGTGCTGCTGCACGCTGGCCAACAAAATCCTCATGGTGCTCTTCATGGTGCTGCTGATCTTCGCCATCTTGTTTGGTAACTTGGTGACTCTGGCCGTGGTTCTGGGGACTAAACACTTCCACACGCCGCAGGGATACCTGAAGGCGTCGCTCGCGGTGGCCGACCTGGCGGTGGGGATATTCGTGGTGCCGCTGTCCGTCTACGCCGAGGTCTATCTCATGGTGACCGACTCTGCACCGGAGTGGACTTCGTACAACTCGCAGTCGGTGAGTTTCCACCCGTGCAACGTGATAGGCCCCATCTTCGCTGGCTGCACCTTTGTCTCCATAACGACGATTTTCCTGCTGACGATCGAGCGGAGCATCGCTGTGTTGCGCCCGCTGCACAAGGACTCGGTGATTACTCGTAAAAGGACCACGATCCTCATTGTCCTCTCCTGGGTGGGGAGTTTCCTCTTGGCCGTGTCTCCGATGGTTTTCAGCAGCGAGATCGCTCTGGAGTACAACTCCTGCAGCCGGATGTGTAACTACGCGCTGGGGACCATCGGCGAGTTCCCCAGCCAGGCCTGGAACATCCTCCTCCTGTTCCCCGCCTTTGACTTCACCCTCCTCGGCGGCACCGTGGTGATAAACCTCATCTCCCTGTCCAGCATCAGGCAGCACTCGAGGCGCAGGAAACACCTGGCCATGTCCGAGTGCCAAAACAGCACCAATCCCACCTTCTCTGACATTAAGGCGGCCAAGACCATCGGGACTTTAACGGTGGCGTTCACGGCGTCGTTCACCCCCATCGCCGTCTTTGTCGTGGGGAACGTTTTGGGGAATAAATGGTGCAACTTTTCCTTTTTCGCCTTCTGGATTCTGGCCACCAACAGCTGCTGGAATGTCATCATCTACAGTGTGAGGGATCAGAAGTTCAGGCTTCGCGCTCACAAGCTCCTCCTGCCTTTCCAGAGAAAAGACACGAGCAAAACCTAAAACATTCAGGGACCGAGCGCCTCCGGACGGCGTCGTGTAGATGTTTGTCTGTCACACAAACTCTTTGTCCGCACACACACACATCGTGAGTCTCGTTGAGAGATGTGTCTGCATGTCTTTGGATTGCCGTTGTGAAACTACTAAGTTTTTTTTTTTTTTTTACATCATTAAAAAAAAAAAAAGCATGGAAAGTTTTAATATCACAAGTTATGGATAATGAAATGTCCGTTTTTTTTGTGGACATTCGTCTTGTTCAGTGTAACGTTGCGATTACAGAAGCCTGTTTCAGTCTGTGGAATGATCGTTTATCTGACTGTGATTAATAAAAACATGATGAGAACAGAGTCTGTCGTCTGAGTCCAGTGTTCAGATGTCTTCTTCACTAGCGAGAGATCAATGTCTCACTCTTCCACAGTCAGAGTCACCATATACAAGTTTTCTGCTCAGTCTGGCTTCTTTGCCCCTCGAAATATGAGTCAGAGTGAACCCTCTTCGCAATGCATCAGCTTTGTACTGTGTTTGTGACCTCCTGTGAAGGCAGCGGCTCCTGGGAAGAATCGACCAGGATCTGGTGAAGATCTGTGCTGAAGTTAGATGATGAGATGAAATGATTATTTGATTAAGATCAAATAAAATTAGAAATTATCCAATGAAACATTAATGAGAGGATATAAGTAGATGAATTAAAGCAGAATATCTGGATAAAATCATGAAAATATAAATAATAATCAGTCATATCTTCACGGTGACTTAAAGGCTTCAGACAAGAGATGTGTCTTATGACGGGTTTGAAGCATCAGCGGATTCTGCACTTATAAAGCACTTTTCTAGTTTTATTGACCAATCAAAACACTTTACAACGCGGGGTTCAGTATCTTGCCCAAGGAGGAAACAGGGATCGAACCACCGACTTTCTGATCAGTGGATGACCTGCTATTGCTGCTCAAGCGTCAACCGCTGAGGCTGAAACATGAAGCATCAACAGTGAAGAACCAGGAGGTGAAGTTCCTCTAATGACCACTAGAGTCTGGCTCCAACAGTGAGTCAGTCCCCATAGACTCCCATGTTAAAATGTCCGACTTTACAGAAGAAACTGTTTTGGTCTCTAGAGCTAATTTCCTCCTTCATGACACCTGTTTATATAACTCACCTGTTTACATTTTATTAAGGACTAAAGTTATGGAGGATTGAGGGCGTGGCCTCTTTGAGTGACAAGTGGGTGAGTGTAAATCTCAGCTTCACACATGCCCCTCCTCTTTGACCATTTCTGGATTAGCTGGGAGTTAGGGGGGCGGAGTCAGACACTGCCAAGATGGCGACGGTGGAGCAGCTCGCTCTGAGCTTCAGAAACCTGTGGGTGACGTCACAGAGGCGACGTCCATCACAGCTGAACTTGAAGCTGCATGTCTAAAACAGCAGTGTGAGGAGAGGACGTCTTTGTTTCAGTCTTTGCAAACACACAAACTGACGCAGCTTGAAGCAGCAGCAGCATCTTTTCACACACCAGTCTAAATTCAGAAAACCTTTTCCTGAATCAAAGGCCAGTGTTTCAGCTCACATCTCCATCAGGAGCCAAACAGGAAAACCACAATATCATCAAACAAGACATCCTATAGGATCACTGCATCGTTCAGTAATCAGGCCATCTGCTCTTCACACAGTGACACCATCTTGTTCAGTTTTAAATAAACAGAGCACTCAGGATATTTTGTGTGTGTGTGTGAATATTTGATCCTCACGTATCTATTTTGGTGAAAATAAATGAGTCGCTGTGTTTCTAAAACGGCCGAGTTGCATGAGAAAGGAATAAAAAAACGAGAGGTTGCTGCATATTTAAACAGCGACAATTACAGAGCTCAAACTGAATTATTCTCGCTTCACATCCACCACATGCCACATCTGAAAACAAGCGGAGAAGAGTCCAATACATGAGCCTTAAACAGCAGTAAAATCGGACCTATTAAACTGCAAATAGATCTGGTGTAAAGTTTTATTGTTTGGTGCAAGAAAAACATCAAATCCTACAACATCATCTGAGGTTTTTGACTCAGTTTCTGTCTCTGATTTCAACCGGTGACGTCAACAGAGGAACATCAGGAACCCGTCGTCCCTGAACTTCATCACACAGAAGCTGCAGAGAAAACATGGGCTGACTGTGGAAGACATGATTTCACATTGACACCGATGAGTCACAGTGTGGAGGGATGAAAAAGACCAAGGACAAGAGCAGGAAAGAAATAAGTCAAGACTTTATTATCAGTATGGCTCATTAATTCAAACTGAGCTGATTCTAGAGAGGAAAGGAGAAGAGGAGGAGGCAGAGAGATGAAGAGGAAGAGGAGCGAGGCAGATGGAGAGACAAAGAGGAAACCGAGAGTCGAGCCACTCCAAGAGCTGATCGCTGTTGGCCCGTTCCCACCGTCAGAAATTAAAAAGGTCCACGGCCAAAAAAAGACGAACATGACGTCTGGCCGGATGGACATTTTCTGATGGCCTCGCTCAACATCTGCCAACACACGAGCACCTGGTGTGTTTTCATGTCACTGTGTTTTTGTGAGCTGACGCCAACTCCACTAAACTCTGTGGGTCTCTAACTTTTTTTGGAACAGTTTCATTTCAGTACTTTTCTCTGTACTAGAGTTCACTTTTTCAAAAACTCTGCACAGAATCTGAACAAAACACTGGACCCAGGTCTCAGGATCGACTCGAACTCTGTAGTGACCTTTGACATCCATGTCCAACACCACTACAGTCTGTGATTTATCTTTTATCTATTTATTTATTTATTCATTTAAGCACAAACCAAGACTCAAACTCAGACGACTGAGGGACTGTATGGATTGTGCTACTTTACAGTATATGTCACAGAAATGATTCAGAAACATGAAGTAAACCAGTCCACCTTCATGAGGAGGAGAGTTCCTCTGTGGGGAGAAAAAGGTGGAAAAAGAAGAGACTCCATCCTGTTCTGGTTTCAGCCTCATTGACATTGTTAAAGCTCCATATTTTCTTCTTCTTCTGTGTTTTATATAAGTGTTAATCCATAAGAAGATATAAAAAAAACATCTCAGTGTAGTTTTACATCTCCTCTCTCAGGCTTCTCTCTGGGGCTCTAGTAACAACAGGTCGGTGAGCCAATCAGAAGAGAGGAGGCTCTGAGCCTCTCTTCTGATTGGCTGACTGTTTTCTGAGTGATCCAATAAAAATAAAGCAGATTTCAGGTAAAAACACTCAGAGAAACCAAATCCTGTAAAGGTTTGGATGGTGGGTTCAGGTGGGCGGGGCTTGGTGACTGCTTTGTTGTGACATCACAAAGTTCCAGAAGTCCTGACGGCTGGTTTTAAGGCTCAGTTTCTGAATACAGGCTGTGTGCATTTCTCTGTGGACTGAGGCTTTGATACTTTCACAGTATTAATATAGAAGCTAGACCTGATCTATAATCACACTACACATGGAAATGTCACCTGATACAATATGGAACCTTTAAGAAAAGAAAAGTGTTGTATGTCTCAAATAGAAGTTGATGCATTTCTATGTTTTTTTTAAATTTCTTTTTAGATGTAGATGAAATTGAATGCAGCAAATCTCAGTCTAATTTACAGTCATTTTGCGGTTTTGAATAAAAGTTTAACAGCTTAAATGTTAAATGTGTAAAATGGAGGTTCGGTGGTGATTAGAAACCAAAGTTCTCTTCCTATTTTCACCTCCAGCTAATTTAAAGGTCCACTCAGCTTCGTATTAACACACAGACCTAAAACCTGTGACAGTAGCTTTTGGACCCGATTAGATTGAATACAATTTGTCAATTTGTCTCCAGTCAGACCCCGAGTCAGAGGACTCAGAGCCAGCCGCTCAGCTGAGCCAAATCTGAGGATGTCCTACGGAGCTGAGCTGAGCCCAACAAGCCAGAGCTGAGACGCCTTAAAATCCATTTAATTTGAATCACAGCACGACTTCTGATCTGGTGCCATCCTCAAGACACACCCTGCATTTTTAGCTTAATTAGCAGCAAAGTGAGAAAAAGCAGATTTGTCTGTTATCTGTCATCTTTCTGACAGTTTTGTTTTTTTGCTGCGTCAGGAACATTTCAGCCTGAAAAGGCCACAGGGATGTTTTTAAACCTCTTGCTTCAGGATGAATAATGAGCCTGTGAGAAACTGAATCACCATCATGGGTATTTCACTTGTCATGAGAGTTCCTCCGCAACTCACCGGCTCATGTCCCCACCCCCCACCTGAGCTTACCTGTTCCTGTCTGCAGCATTTTCCCCTTCATTTCCCATGGTGGCTCAGGTCTGTCAGAGCTCCAGGGAGGGTGGGGGTCTTCTCTTCTGCACTGATGAGTCTCTGCACTCCTGTCTGCTGCTCAGCAGGTTTCACAGCAGTGATCGGACACTGGGCCTCGACAGCAGGAATATAAATGTCACAGCAGCAGTCTCTCTCTCTCTCTCTCTCTCTCTCTCTCTCTCTCGCTGTCTTCTTTCTCAGAGGTCATTCGAATTGACCTTAAAAGATGTTTGACTTTGAAAGTTTCCTCTTAGTTTCCAATCTTTGGTCCACGTTATCTTCTATTTGTTGATGGTCTGAACTTCCTGTTTCCCTTTAGTTTTGAAGAACAAAACACAGGTTATTTATTTATCTCTGTGTCACATCTCATTCCACATGAGATAACAAACAATGCTGATAATCAATTGTCTAAACACAGCAGAACATTTTCCAAAACACATTTACATCTGTCAGATTGCTTGTGAGTGCGCTTTATTGGAGCAGACTGAGTTTATTCAGCTCAGTATCTCATGTTACATCCACACGACTTTCAGAAATGCTGCTGGGCCTGTTTTAATTTGAAAACTCTGGGGTTGTGTTTTATTTTGAAAACTCTTGGGTTATGTGTTAATTTAAAAACTCTGGGGTTATGTTTTATTTTGAAAACTCTGGGGGTGTGATGTAGTCTGGAAACTCAGAAACTGAGACCTTTGTAAACGATGAGGTCACAGCCAC